GGAATTTAGGAATACGAAATTTTTATTCTTTTTAACTTGTTTTCTTTTTAATATCAGAGATGCATTGGTAATGACTCAATTTAAAACTCTGGACCGCCTGCAAGAGTTAGTGACCGGAGCTACAAAGAGTGTATTTGTGAAATCGTTATTGACACAGTGATTGCTATTTTTATTATTTATACTATTCTTAATGTTATATAGTGCTTAATTCTTACTCCAAATATTTCAGGTAGTAGCAATACAGATGACACTGCGCAATTATTTTCAGTAGCACCAAATTCATCTTGCCCAGATGCAAATGACGCAAATGATAACATGGAAGATGATTCACACTCATTTAAAATGGAATCTTGGGAAAATTGACAATTAGAGATTTGCAAACGAATTCAAGAAAGAGATGATAAGCCATAAGTAAAGGACTCAGTAACAATCAATTTTAACCCATTCGCCACTGAACCGCCCGTGTACGACAACCCGCGAATTCCCTGAACCGCCCGTAAAAATGGCTGCTGGATTCAGTCCATTCCCCTCTCCTCCCGGGTGTTTTTTTGTCTTTTGTTTTCACAGAGTGTTTTATGGATAATAAACCAATCATTTGCCATCTTTTGCGCATTTTTTGACAGATGATGAGAAGCATTACAGGGTCGGGTTTTTCGAAGAGCACGAGTAAAAGAAATTCGCGAGAGTAATGACCGCCTGTGTCGATTTCGAATCAAAGTTCGCATCACGTTCTAGAGAATATAGAGATAATTCGACTCTTGATCACTTCAGGTTGTTGAACAGACCTTGTGAAAAACCTTCTGATTGAGAGTTAAACGATCTTAAGACTGAAAAGACAATCCTAGCCCTCAAATTGCCGACTGCTTCGTAGGCAAACAAACTGCATGGACTATCGATGAAAAATCGTTCATTTCATTTACTTGCATCCAAGTACCGTGTTCCTCGCAGCAAATGTTTTAAATGTAACTGTTTCTTGAACTGCTGGAGGTGATGCTTTTGTAGAGTTAAAAGTTTGAACAAGGAAACGGATTATGTACGACGATCGATTTGGATTGACAATCCCCATGAATAAAGTTTACTTCACATCGCGCGGAAGCTCACAGAGAATAAACAGTAACTGTCGTTTTATTCAATTATTTACAGTTGCCAAATGATGCTTTTTGTGTGCTTGTTTTCTCTGTGTATAACTATTAACACCTCTCGATCTGTGCATTGGTAGATAAAGCATTAATAAAGCAAGTTTGGCATTTAACTTATTTGCGCTTTACTTTGTTGATCAGAGATGATCGGGGAGGTACTTCAGTTCAGGAAATCAAATACACTTTCCTGAAAGATTGCGGCTTTGCCACCTTCTGGCGAATGCGATCATTTATTTTACTGTTGAAATTCAGGAATCGAAAAATATATAAAAGAGTGGGAAGCTGAAGTCCAGGATTCCCTTGTTTTATTAAACTTTCAAATGCTTGATGATGAGGAACTCTTCAGATGGCTCTTCGTGAAGTGATCATCACCGAAGTTTCAATACATTTTTCTACGGTGCTTCTCGACTGGACTGATCTGAAAGAGAACTTGATGAAACTTTCAGTAAAATGACTTTACACTGTTGTTGATGTTTTATTGACTGTGTTTATTCCTTTAACAGCGTTTTTGTTCCCCCTTTTACCGTTGATTTATCAGTGCAATTATCGCGCGGCGAAGAAATTTTGTTGAAATTCATTGTTTTTGCCTCTTTCCACAGCTTTTTCTTTCTCAAACTGCTATTTTTTTACATACCCTGGCTGCCCATTAACTCTTCTAAAAGAAAAAGGTTGTTTGAAAGCCAGAGTTTATCTCTGGTTTTACTGCGCATATGGTTTATTTTAGGCGCCCGCGTATGCTTATTTTCTACCGAAAATTGCCAGGGAATTGGGGGGTTGTCGCACATAAAAGTCCAAGTAGTGAATGGGTTAAAGTAATATTGTTGTGGCATACATGTGCCTGTGCTAGTGCAATATTTAACAATTAATGAATGAGGCTGAGTATCTTATGAAGAATTATGGAGATCGAGGAGGGTGTTATCCATCGAGGCCATAGGCCGAGGCAGATAACACCCTCCGAGATCTCCATAATTCTTCATACGATACGAAAGCCGAATTCAACAACTGTTTCATTATTCATTCAAAATAATTCCTTGTTTAAAAACGTGGCTAAAACATGCTTACCCCCATCGATGTTAAGTTCATCTTCGATAGTGCACGTTTAGGGTTGTTCAGCTCCGCAAATATTCTCCAAATAGCAGATGTCTCCCTTCCAGTTGTCTTGCTGTTCTTGCCATGTTTTTAGCTATTTTTTCGCCTAGTTCTTACTCTTGAAACGAGTGAAATGTCCGCCATTTTACAAGTTCACAACCAAAATAACTCAACGTCATCCTCAGGTCTTCTCAGTTAACGGTGCATTAACCTGCAAGAACATACCATTTTTGACGTCATTTCCTCGTTAAACACAAGATTCTTCCAAATTT